CTTTTCCTTTAAACCTAGCCAAAAAGCCATATGTGTTGATTGTGACAGTATACTTTAATAATATGCATTTATGGTGTAATTTTTTTTTCGTGTCAATTCATGTTCATATTTACTGCAAACAATGCGCTGTTACTTTAATTCAGCACTTGCAGTGCAGCAAAAATAGACTAGGTGCGGAAACGATCTCTGCACTGCTGCAGACGCGCCGCTCCTGGAACGCACTGCCGGACACCAACTGTGTGCAGTGTGCACGCTTTATTAATCCGTTAACATGAGCGCGGAAAAAATACGCACCACATACGCACTGCAAACGGAGTAATGTGAACCTGGCGTTATGTGTGTGCGCTGCGAGTGCGAGTGTGCATGAGCGCACGGTAACGCAATTTATAAACTTTAGTGACGATGTGACACTGCCTCGATTGTACAAGTGACAATCCCTGTGTCAACTGTACAGCGTGCAGCTGGCTTATAGACAGACTGGATGTGGTGATTTGAAGCCATTTGCATATTTTGAGAGAGAAAGAGAGAGCTCGGCCTTTTTAGAGACCACCAATCAATCATCCCAACGTGATTATCGGCTGATAGTGATTGGTAGCCGATCAACCGGAGCACCCCTAATTTTTACCCACAAATGTGTGGAAACCTGACAACAGTGATTTATCTTTATTACCATTAATTTACCAATGTTTCCACAGGTGACTCCGCGTCTGGACACACACCCCGCTATGATCACGGTGCTGGAGATGGGCGCCGCTCGACACTTCCTGCGCACACAGCAGCTCACCCGCAGCTCAGAGGAGAGAGCCCAGATCCTGCAGCCCACACTGGAGATCAATGCTGGGTACGAGACGGTTAACCTTAACTTTAACACTCCAGCCGAACACAAGTAATCAATCTGACAGTTTGCATGAAGACAAAACAGTCCAATAATATATAGAATAATTTCCTTATAGAGTGAGGAGATGCAGATGAACGCAATGTTATATTGCTGATGATGAATCTTAAAGCAATAGTACACCCAAAACGGAAAAATTGTGGAAAATCTCAGGCCATCCAAGATGTAGATGAGTTTGTTTCTTCATCAGAACAGATTTGAAGAAATGTAG